AATAGATAGATAGATCTAGAGATGTTAGATTGTGAACTAGAGATGGGAGATTGTGAACTAGAAATAAGAGATTGTGAACTGGCGATAGGTGTCTGTGAACTAGAGATTAGAGATTGTAAACTAGAGATGGAAGATGTGTGAACTAGAAATGGAGACTGTGATCGAGAGATAGGAGACTGTGAACTAGAGATGGGAGACTGAACTAGAGATTGGAGATTGTAAACTAGAGATAGGAGATTGTGAACTAGAGATAGGAGATTGTGAACTAGAGATGAGAGATTGTGAACTAAAGATAGGAAATAGTGAACTATAAAGCGTAGAATCAGTTCAAAATAACAATTGCTGACTGAGCCTGCTGGTTTGTTTGAAACTCCAGCCTCAGAATACCAAAAACAACACAACAACAACAACAAGCTAGGCATCCCCAGCCTCAGGAGACCAACAACAACACAACAATAACAACACAACAACAACAATCTAGGCATCTCCAGCCTCAGAATACCAAGAACAACACAACAACAACAACAAGCTAGGCATCCCCAGCCTCAGGAGACCAACAACAACACAACAACAACACAACAATAACAACACAACAACAACACAACAATAACAACACAACAACAACAACACAACAATAACAACACAACAACAACAATCTAGGCATCTCCAGCCTCAGAATACCAAGAACAACACAACAACAACAACAATCTAGGCATCCCCAGCCTCAGGAGACCAACAACAACACAACAATAACAACACAACAACAACAATCTAGGCATCTCCAGCCTAAGGAGACCAACAACAACACAACAACAACAACACAACAATAACAACACAACAATAACAACAATCTAGGCATCTCTAGCCTCAGAATACCAAGAACAACAACAACACAACAACAACAACAATCTTAGCATCTCCAACCCAAGTAAATATTTTCTACCTGTGGGAATATAAAATGAATGTATATGATATATACGAAGGGAAGTGCATAAAAATGATTGACACCCTCGGGGAAAAGTGCGGAAATGTTGGCAGAAACAACTCAGAGAATGAGATCGCGTGGGTTAATCAGGTCGGGCCAGCAGGCGGCTGTGATCCATGGAGGCAGCCACTTGCTGCGGTATAGGCATAAACAGACGGGACACATTTGAGGTTGTTGAGATACAAGGTGATAAACACATGGACAGGTCTCCGTCAGCACTCATGGGTAGACTGATGGGGAGACAAGCCAGACAGCAAACATATACCGCAGCACTCATAGATAGACGTTGACTGATAGCGAGACAAGCCAGACAGCAGACATATACCGCAGCACTCATAAGTAGACGTAGACTGATGGGGAGACAAGCCAGACAGCAGACATATACCGCAGCACTCATAGATAGACGTAGGCTGATAGGGGGGAGACAAGCCAGACAGCAGACATATACCGCAGCACTCATAGATAGACGTAGGCTGATAGGGGGAGACAAGCCAGACAGCAGACATATGCCGCAGGACTCATAGATAGACGTAGGCTGATAGGGAGACTAGTCAGACAGCAAACATAGACGTAGGCTGATAGAGAGACTAGCCAGACAGCAAACATAAACGTAGGCTGATAGAGAGACTAGTCAGACAGCAAACATAGACGTAGGCTGATAGAGAGACTAGTCAGACAGCAAACATAGACGTAGGCTGATAGAGAAACTAGTCAGACAGCAGACATAGACGTAGGCTGATAGAGAGACTAGCCAGACAGCAGACATAGACGTAGGCTGATAGAGAGACTAGCCAGACAGCAGACATAGACGTAGGCTGATAGAGAGACTAGACAGACAGCAGACATAGACGTAGGCTGATAGAGAGACTAGTCAGACAGCAGACATAGACGTAGGCTGATAGAGAGACTAGTCAGATAGCAAACATAGACGTAGGCTGATAGAGAGACTAGTCAGACAGCAGACATAGACGTAGGCTGATAGAGAGACTAGTCAGACAGCAGACATAGACGTAGGCTGATAGGGAGACTAGTCAGACAGCAAACATAGACGTAGGCTGATAGAGAGACTAGTCAGACAGCAGACATAGACGTAGGCTGATAGAGAGACTAGTCAGACAGCAGACATAGACGTAGGCTGATAGAGAGACTAGTCAGACAGCAGACATAGACGTAGGCTGATAGAGAGAGACTAGTCAGACAGCAGACATAGACGTAGGCTGATAGAGAGACTAGTCAGACAGCAGACATAGACGTAGGCTGATAGGGAGACTAGTCAGGCAGCAAACATAGACGTAGGCTGATAGAGAGACTAGTCAGACAGCAGACATAGACGTAGGCTGATAGAGAGACTAGTCAGACAGCAGACATAGACGTAGGCTGATAGAGAGACTAGTCAGACAGCAGACATAGACGTAGGCTGATAGAGAGAGACTAGTCAGACAGCAGACATAGACGTAGGCTGATAGAGAGACTAGTCAGACAGCAGACATAGACGTAGGCTGATAGGGAGACTAGTCAGACAGCAACAAGAACCTGCCGCCTCCAAATGACGACAGTGACGATAGACTACTGGAATCATCGGCCGGCTAGAGAATAGTGAGATACTTTAGAAAACGTTGAGATACTCTAGATAACGATGAGATACTCTAGATAAAGATGAGATACTCTAGATAACAATGAGATATTCTAGATAAAAATGAGATATTTTAGACAACGATGAGATATTATAGACCCGATGTGATACTCTAGATAACGGTGAGATGTTCTAGACAACAATAAGATATTCTAGTCAACAATGAGGTATTCTAGACAACAATGAGGTATTCTAGACAACAATGAGATATTCTAGATAACGATAAAATATTATAGACAACGATGAGAAATTTTAGACAACGATGATATTTTCTGACAACGATAAGATATTTTAGATAACGATGAGATAATCTAGACAACGATGAGATATTCTAGACAATGATGAGATATTCTAGGCATTAGTGAGACATTCTAGATAACTATGAAACAATCTAGTCAGTGGTGAGATATTCTAGACAGTGATGAGATATTCTAGACAGTGATGAGATATTCTAGACAGTGATGAGATATTCTACACAGTTATGAGATTTTCTAGACAAGTATGATATATTCTAGACAATGATATAACTCTAGACAATGATGATACACCAGACAAGGATGAGATATTCTAGACAATGATGAGACACTCAAGACGACGATGAGATATGCTACGCAACAATGAGTTATTCCAGACAAGACTGAGATATTCAGGAAACTATAAGATAGTCTAGACAGCGATGAGACATTCTAGACAGCGATGAGATATTCTAGACAAGGAGTAGATAGTCTAGACATCAAATATCTGGGCAATGATGAGACACTCTAGACAACTAAAGGTCAATCTAGACAACGATAAGATATTCTAGACAATGATGAGGAACTCTAGAGAATGATGAGACACTCTAGACAATAATGAGACAATCTAGACAGTGACGAGATATTTTAGATAAGGATGAGATATACTAGACAACGATAATCCTGCAACGATGAGACACTCCAGAAAACAAAAACACTTTCTTGACAACTATGAGATTTTTTAGACAATGAAGAAATATTCTAGACAACGCTGAGATATTAGAGACACCGATTAGATATTCTGACAACGGTAAGACACTCTAGACAGTGATGAAACACTCTAGATAACATAACGAAAAGTCATCCTAGACAATGATGAGATATTCTAGATAATATTTAGATATTCTATACAACAGTGAGATCTTCTCATCAACGATAGATATTATAGACAACGATGATACACTAGATAACGTTATGATGTTCTAGATACTGAACAAATGAAAGGGAACTGGAACACAATGAACAAATAAAAGGGGACAGGAACACAATAAACAAATAAAAGGGGACAAGAACACAATGAACAAATAAAAGGGAACAAGAACACACCGAACAAATAAAAGGGAACAAGAACACACTGAACAAATAAAAGGGGACAAGAACACAATGAACAAATAAAAGGGGACAGGAACACAATAAACAAATAAAAGGGGACAAGAACACAATGAACAAAAAAAAGGGGACAAGAACACACCGAACAAATAAAAGGGGACAAGAACACAATGAACAAATAAAAGGGGACAAGAACACAATGAACAAATAAAAGGGGACAGGAACACAATAAACAAATAAAAGGGGACAAGAACACAATGAACAAAAAAAAGGGGACAAGAACACACCGAACAAATAAAAGGGGACAAGAACACACCGAACAAATAAAAGGGAACAAGAACACACCGAACAAATAAAAGGGAACAAGAACACACTGAACAAATAAAAGGGAACAAGAACACACCGAACAAATAAAAGGGAACAAGAACACACTGAACAAATAAAAGGGGACAAGAACACAATGAACAAATAAAAGGGAACAAGAACACACCAAACAAATAAAAGGGAACAAGAACACACCGAACAAATAAAAGGGGACAAGAACACACCGAACAAATAAAAGGGGACAAGAACACACCGAACAAATAAAAGGGGACAAGAACACACCGAACAAATAAAAGGGGACAAGAACACACTGAACAAATAAAAGGGGACAAGAACACACCGAACAAATAAAAGGGGACAAGAACACACCGAACAAATAAAAGGGGACAAGAACACACTGAACAAATAAAAGGGGACAAGAACACACCGAACAAATAAAAGGGGACAAGAACACACCTAATAAATGCAAGGGGACATGAACGCGAAGGAAAAACATAAAGGAACGCAAAAATCCCAGAACAAACATGCAAAGAGCAAGAAGGTGGCTACAAATGTGTAAGGAACACACTACGACATGACCATACCAAACTACTTCTTCTTCTTCTTGTTTAGCTATCTTGAAATAGTTTTTCAATATCTGCAATGATGTCTCTAGTATGAACTTCTTATGTATGAACCAAACTCTAATATTCACTGTCACATATAATATTTTCAGACGCCCTGCGCATCGCCAAGAAGTTCGACTGCCGCTACATCGAGACTTCGGCCGCCCTCAACCACCACGTGGATGAGCTGCTGGTGGGTATCCTTAGCCAGATCCGGCAGCAGATAGCGCCCTCTGATGACACCCGCTTGGCGCCCCCTAGTGACTCTAAAACCAGATCACGGTCCAAGAGTCCGGGGAAAGCCATCAGTGACTTCTTCTCGAAAATCTTCGGGGGCAGCGACAAGAAAGCCAAGTCATGCGAGACATTGTTCGTGCAGTAGTGGGCTCGTCCCTGGCTGACCGAACCTGGATGTGTGCCATATGTTGGCGTCAACTCTGGCCGCAGATGGACGGAATATTTCATTGTTATACTCTTCACCTGTTGAGAACGTTCCCCGCATGCACACTGGTGGTGAAACTGAGACACATATGCTCAAGAGTAGAAATGGCAGGCAGAACTAGGACACGATGGTCTACGACCTAACAGTGGCCGGGATGCATATTGACCAGCCCTGGAGTACGGTGTAGCAGCAAAGAGAGGCTAGTACTTTTTGTAGAAACACCAACATATAGCACCATGACACAGACCTATGTCACACCGTCAACAAGTAGATTCCTTCCACCAACAGCTGGGTCTCTACAACAGCTGGGTCTCTACAACAGCTGGGTCTCTACAACAGTTGGGTCTCTACAACAGCTGGGTCTCTACAACAGCTGGGTCTCTACAGTAGCTGGGTCTCTACAACAGCTGGGTCTCTACAACAGCTGGGTCTCTACGGCAGCTGGGTCTCTACAACAGCTGGGTCTCTACAACAGCTGGGTCCCTACAATAGCTGGGTCTCTACAACAGCTGGGTCTCTACAATAGCTGGGTCTCTACAACAGCTGGGTCTCTACAACAGCTGGGTCTCTACAATAGCTGGGTCTCTACAACAGCTGGGTCTCTATGACAGCTGGGTCTCTACAATAGCTGGGTCTCTACAACAGCTCGGTCTCTACAACAGCTGGGTCTCTACAATTGCTGGGTCTCTACAACAGCTGGGTCTCTACAACAGCTGGGTCTCTACAATAGCTGGGCCTCTACAACAGCTGAGTGTCTACAAAAGCTGGGTCTCTACAATAGCTGGGTCTCTACAACAGCTGGATCTCTACAACAGCTGGGTTTCTACAATAACTGGGTCTCTACAATAGCTGGGTTTCTACAATAGATGGGTTTCTACAATAACTGGGTCTCTACAACAGCTGGGTCTCTACAATAGCTGGGTCTCTACAATAGCTTGGTCTCTACAATAACTGGGTCTCTACAATAGCTGGGTCTCTACAATAGCTGGGTTTCTACAACAGCCGGGTCTCTACAATAACTGGGTCTCTACAATAGCTGGGTTTCTACAATAACTGGGTCTCTACAACAGCCGGGTCTCTACAACAGCTGGGTCTCTACAATAGCTGGGTCTCTACAATAGCTGGGTTTCTACAATAACTGGGTCTCTACAATAACTGGGTTTCTACAATAGCTGGGTCTCTACAATAGCTGGGTTTCTACAATAGCTGGGTCTCTACAAAAGCTGGGTCTCTACAACAGCTGGGTCTCAACAATAGCTAGGTCTCTACAATAGCTTGGTCTCTACAATAACTGGGTCTCTACAATAACTGGGTCTCTACAATAGCTGGGTCTCTACAATAGCTGGGTTTCTACAATAACTGGGTCTCTACAAAAGCCGGGTCTCTACAACAGCTGGGTCTCTACAATAGCTGGGTCTCTACAATAGCTGGGTCTCTACAATAGCTGGATCTCTACGACAGCTGGGTCTCTACAAAAGCTGGGTCTTTATGACAGCTGGGTCTCCATGACAGCTGGGTCTCTACAACAGCTAGGTCTCTACAATAGCAGGGTCTCCACAACAGTTGGGTCTCTACAATAGCTTGGTCTCTACAATAGCTTGGTCTCTACAACAGCTGGGTCTCTACTATAGCTGGGTCACTACAATAGCTGGGTCTCTACTATAGCTGGGTCTCTACAATAGCTGGGTCTCTACAACAGCTGGGTCTCTACTATAGCTGGGTCACTACAATAGCTGGGTCTCTACAATAGCTGGGTCTCTACAATAGCTGGGTCTCTACAACAGCTGGGTCTCTACAACAGCTGGGACTCTACAACAGCTGGGTCTCTACAACAGCTGGGACTCTACAACAGCTGGGACTCTACAACAGCTGGAACTCTACAACAGCTGGGTCTCTACAATAGCTGGGTCTCTACAACAGCTGGGTCTACAACAGCTGGGTCTCTACAACAGCTGGGTCTCTACAAAAGCTGGGTCTCTACAACAGCTGGGTCTCTACAACAGCTGGGTCTCTACAACAGCTGGGTCTACAACAGCTGGGTCTCTACAACAGCTGGGTCTCTACAACAGCTGGGTCTCTACTATAGCTGGGTCTCTACAACAGCTGGGTCTCTACAACAGCTGGGTCTACAACAGCTTGATCTCTACAGTAGCTGGGTCTCTACAACAGCTCAGTCTCTACAGAAGCTGTGCAATAGCTGGGTCACTACGAGAGCTGGGTCTCTACAGTATCCGAGTACCTATAACAGCTGGGTCTCTACAACATGAACTATGGGATCGTAGAATGGTGTGTAGGATTATTTGTTCTAAGAATGGGGTATAAAACTGAAAGGGAGCAGTGTAGAAACAAATGTGGAACTGTGGGAGAGTAGAGTAGAATGTTGAACGATAGAATTCTAAAATAAAGTGTGGAACTGTTCGAGCGTAGAATGGGATGTGTGACTATGGGATCATATAATGGGGTGTGGGACTACAGGGTTCATAGAATGGGGTGTTGGGCTATGGGATCATAAAATGGAGTGTAAGACTATGCAATCATAGAATAGGGTGTGTGACTATGGGATCATAGAATGTCGTGTGGGACTATGAGATCATATAATGGAGTGTAGGACTATGGGATCATCGAATGGATTGTGTGACTATGGGATCATATAATTTGATGTGGGACTATGTGATCATAGAATGGAGTGTGGGACTATGGGATCATCGAATGGATTGTGTGACTATGGGATCATATAATGTGATGTGGGACTATGTGATCATAGACTGGAGTGTGGGACTATGGGATCATAGAATGGGGTGTGGAAATATGTGATCATAGACTGGAGTGTGGGACTATGGTATCATAGAATGGGGTGTGGAAATATGTGATCATAGACTGGAGTGTGGGACTATGGTATCATAGAATGGGGTGTGGAAATATGTGATCATAGACTGGAGTGTGGGACTATGGTATCATAGAATGGGGTGTCTGAAAGGTGGCAGTGACCACAGAAAAGACTGCTGCGAAATGTGGACAGTATTTTAGGAACATTGACAATTGGCCTCTGTACAAAGATCTAACTGAGATCATACAGCTGCGTGTAACAAAGATATGACTGAGATCCCATGGCTTGTATGTAACAAAGATATGACTGAGATCCTATGGTTGTCGTGTAACAAAGATATGACTGAGATCCCATGGCTTGTATGTAATAAAGATATGACTGAGATCCCATGGCTTGTATGTAACAAAGATGTGACTGAGATCCCATGGCTTGTATGTAACAAAGATATGACTGAGATCCTATGGTTGTCGTGTAACAAAGATATGACTGAGATCCCATGGCCTGTATGTAACAAAGATATGACTGAGATCCCATGGCTTGTATGTAGCAAAGATGTGACTGAGATCCCACGGTTGGCGTGAAACCAAGATTTGACTGCGGTTGCATTGCTCGTGTGTAGCAAAGATGTGACTGAGATCCCATGGCTGGCGTGTCTTAGAGATATAACTGAGATCCCATAGCTCGTGTGTAGCAAAGATATAACTGAGATTCCATGGCTGGCGTGTCTTAGAGATATAACTGAGATTCCATGGCTCGTGTGTAGCAAAGATATGACTGAAATAACATGGCTCGCGTCTAACAAATATATGACTAAGATCCCATGGCTCGTGTGTAGCAAAGATATGACTGGTGGTGTGTCATAGAGATATGACTGAGATCCCATTGCTTGTGTGTAGCAAAGATATGACTGAGATCCCATTGCTTGTGTGTAGCAAAGATATGACTGAGATCCCATTGCTTGTGTGTAGCAAAGATATGACTGAGATCCCATGGCTTGTGTGTAGCAAAGATATGACTGAGATCTTATTGCTTGAGTGTAGCAAAGATATGACTGAGATCTTATTGCTTGAGTGTAGCAACCACAATGTCTATGCACACATGTCGAGATGTATCTGCCTTGAGCTGTGAATACAAACTCTGTGAATAGAAACGTTAGTGTGTTACTCTTTGTATATATGTCTGTGTATTATTGTTGGTACAATGTGTATTACAGTTTGTACGTATTACAGTTTTTTTGTATATATGTCTGTGTATTATTGTTGGTACAATGTGTATTACAGTTTGTACGTTTTACAGTTTTTTGTATATATGTCTGTGTATTATTGTTGGTACAATGTGTATTACAGTTTGTACGTATTACAGTTTTTTGTATATATGTCTGTGTATTATTGTTGGTACAATGTGTATTACAGTTTGTACGTATTACAGTTTTTTGTATATATGTCTGTGTATTATTGTTGGTACAATGTGTATTACAGTTTGTACGTATTACAGTTTTTTGTATATATGTCTGTGTATTATTGTTGGTACAATGTGTATTACAGTTTGTACGTATTACAGTTTTTTGTATATATGTCTGTGTATTATTGTTGGTACAATGTGTATTACAGTTTGTACGTATTACAGTTTTTTGTATATATGTCTGTGTATTATTGTTGGTACAATGTGTATTACAGTTTGTACGTATTACAGTTTTTTGTATATATGTCTGTGTATTATTGTTGGTACAATGTGTATTACAGTTTGTACGTATTACAGTTTTTTGTATGTATGTCTGTGTATTATTGTTGGTACAATGTGTATTACAGTTTGTACGTATTACAGTTTTTTGTATATATGTCTGTGTATTATTGTTGGTACAATGTGTATTACAGTTTGTACGTATTACAGTTTTTTGTATGTATGTCTGTGTATTATTGTTGGTACAATGTGTATTACAGTTTGTACGTATTACAGTTTTTTGTATATATGTCTGTGTATTATTGTTGGTACAATGTGTATTACAGTTTTTTGTATGTATGTCTGTGTATTATTGTTGGTACAATGTGTATTACAGTTTGTACGTATTACAGTTTTTTGTATGTGTGTCTGTGTATTATTGTTGGTACAATGTGTATTACAGTTTTTTGTATGTGTGTGCTTCGCCATTCAGCTTAGCTGTACTAACAGGTGAGATGAACTATCTACAAGCAATATTAATTATCCCAGGAAATAATATAAATGTCTAAAGGTGAGATGTTCACATTCAAGTGAGGACCGGTACCTACGGTTAACGGTAGTTGTCTAGATCACAGCACAGATCTGCTGGTGCAAATATGAATGTATGTGTATGTATATATATATATATATATATATATATATATATATATATATATATATATATATATATATATATATATATATATATATATATATATCGGCTCTGTGGCTAAGTCAATGCGAACGCTTCGTAATGCCGGAGTGCCGGGTTCGATACCATCTGCGGGCCATGCGCCTTGCGTTGGTTTCGACAGTGGTATCAGGGGGCCGATCGTCCAGAGAGCAATGACAAACTACTGGATGTAAATTTGCCTAGAGAAACCACACAACAGCCAGGAGCTGCTGGGGTTGGTTCTGCAACGTCCTGTAAAGGATACGTAACTAACCTATATATACACAGACACACACACGATATACTGAACTAAATGAATGATATACTAGACACATACGAAGATATACAAGACATAAACGATATACTCATAGACGTGGGTATACTAGACACACACGAAGATATACTAAACACACACAAGGATATACAAGACACACACCGGGCTATACTAGACACATACAAGGATATACTAGACACTATGCCATCTCTCACTCATTGTGAGTAAGGCAAGGTTGTGTATTATACCTTTACTTTTCATAATATTTATGGACAAATTAATAAAATAGACATAACACCAACAGATGTCAATAAACAGGATGACTTCAATGAGCTGCTCTTTGCCGACGATCAATGCCTATTTCACAGTGATAGTAAACAGCTGCAAGACCACATAAACCTACTACACGATAGTTGCCTCAAGCATCATATGAAGATCAATACTGAAAAGACAGAAGTCATGAGCATAAGCAGAGAGCAACAGACCATCGACATAAAGATTCTAGATCGCAGCCTAAAACAAGTGCAAGAATTTAAATACTTGGGAAGTATCTTTACATCCAAAGGTAAAATAGACAGAGAGATCGAAGCAAGAATCCAACAAGCCAACAATGTCGCATACCAGCTTGCCCCAATTTTAAAACATCCTGCTGTCCCAGCTGAGATAAAAAGACAAATTATAAATACAATTTTTATACAGACATTAGGTTATCAATGTCAGACTTGGACATTAACAAAAGAACACGAGAGAAGACTAACCACCTGTGAAATGAGATGTTTGAGAATGTCTGCGAATAAAACCAGAAAAGATCGAATGAGAAACGATGTGATTACAAGAACTATTGGAACCACACCCATCGTTAAATTTATTGAGAAGCAAAGAATGAAATGGTTTGGTCACCTAATGAGAATTAAACCAACGATGCCAGCATCAAGAGCATACAACATGAAAATCGAAACACCAAGAGGCAGGGGAAGACCAAGAAGAATATGGATTGAAGGAGTCACGGACAACTTGAGACTTCATAACATCACGGCATATGAAGCGACTGAGCGCGCCCTGGCTCGGTTGCCGATCATCTGATAGACTGCGACGCCTAGCGGCACAAGCAGATTTTGACAAAAGAAGAAGATGTGGAACACTGAACAGAGAGGAATATACTAGACGCACACAAAGGAATACACTGGAAACGTGGCGGGTGGTGTCACTGATACAACAATCTACCAGTGACGATAAGCACTAGAACACATGTTCAGCCTGAGAGCAGATTGCCCTATACAGACTCAAGTTTGCGCCGTGTTCCAGGTCCAGAGAGTCTGCGCCATGATCCAGGTTCAGACAGTCTCCGCCATGATCCAGGTCCAAAGAGTCTCCGCCATGATCCAGGTCCAGACAGTCTGCGCCATGATCCAGGTCCAGAGAGTCTCCGCCATGATCCAGGTCCAGACAGTCTGCGCCATGATCCAGGTCCAAAGAGTCTCCGCCATGATCCAGGTCCAAAGAGTCTCCGCCATGATCCAGGTCCAAAGAGTCTCCGCCATGATCCAGGTCCAGACAGTCTCCGCCATGATCCAGGTCCAAAGAGTCTCCGCCATGATCCAGGTCCAGACAGTCTGTGCCATGATCCAGGTCCAGACAGTCTGTGCCATGATCCAGGTCCAGAGAGTCTCCGCCATGATCCAGGTCCAAAGAGTCTCCGCCATGATCCAGGTTCAGAGAGTCTCCGCCATGATCCAGGTTCAGAGAGTCTCCGCCATGATCCAGGTCCAAAGAGTCTCCGCCATGATCCAGGTTCAGACAGTCTCCGCCATGATCCAGGTCCAGAGAGTCTCCGCCATGATCCAGGTCCAGAGAGTCTCCGCCATGATCCAGGTCCAGACAGTCTGCGCCATGATCCAGGTCCAGAGAGTCTCCGCCATGATCCAGGTCCAAAGAGTCTCCGCCATGATCCAGGTCCAGACAGTCTGCGCCATGATCCAGGTCCAGAGAGTCTCCGCCATGATCCAGGTCCAAAGAGTCTCCGCCATGATCCAGGTCCAGACAGTCTGTGCCATGATCCAGGTCCAGACAGTCTGTGCCATGATCCAGGTCCAGAGAGTCTCCGCCATGATCCAGGTCCAAAGAGTCTCCGCCATGATCCAGGTTCAGAGAGTCTCCGCCATGATCCAGGTCCAAAGAGTCTCCGCCATGATCCAGGTCCAGAGAGTCTCCGCCATGATCCAGGTCCAAAGAGTCTCCGCCATGATCCAGGTCCAGACAGTCTCCGCCATGATCCAGGTCCAGACAGTCTGTGCCATGATCCAGGTCCAGACAGTCTGTGCCATGATCCAGGTCCAGAGAGTCTGCGCCATGATCCAGGTTCAGACAGTCTCCGCCATGATCCAGGTCCAGACAGTCTCCGCCATGATCCAGGTCCAGACAGTCTCCGCCATGATCCAGGTCCAGAGAGTCTGTGCCATGATCCAGGTTCAGATAGTCTCCGCCATGATCCAGGTCCAAAGAGTCTCCGCCATGATCCAGGTCCAAAGAGTCTCCGCCATGATCCAGGTCCAAAGAGTCTCCGCCATGATCCAGGTCCAAAGAGTCTCCGCCATGATCCAGGTCCAAAGAGTCTCCGCCATGATCCAGGTCCAGACAGTCTCCGCCATGATCCAGGTCCAAAGAGTCTCCGCCATGATCCAGGTCCAGACAGTCTGTGCCATGATCCAGGTCCAGACAGTCTGTGCCATGATCCAGGTCCAGAGAGTCTCCGCCATGATCCAGGTCCAAAGAGTCTCCGCCATGATCCAGGTTCAGAGAGTCTCCGCCATGATCCAGGTCCAAAGAGTCTCCGCCATGATTCAGGTCCAGACAGTCTGCGCCATGATCCAGGTCCAGAGAGTCTCCGCCATGATCCAGGTCCAAAGAGTCTCCGCCATGATCCAGGTCCAGACAGTCTGCGCCATGATCCAGGTCCAGAGAGTCTCCGCCATGATCCAGGTCCAAAGAGTCTCCGCCATGATCCAGGTCCAGACAGTCTGTGCCTTGATCCAGGTCCAGACAGTCTGTGCCATGATCCAGGTCCAGAGAGTCTCCGCCATGATCCAGGTCCAAAGAGTCTCCGCCATGATCCAGGTTCAGAGAGTCTCCGCCATGATCCAGGTCCAAAGAGTCTCCGCCATGATCCAGGTCCAGAGAGTCTCCGCCATGATCCAGGTCCAAAGAGTCTCCGCCATGATCCAGGTCCAGACAGTCTCCGCCATGATCCAGGTCCAGACAGTCTGTGCCATGATCCAGGTCCAGACAGTCTGTGCCATGATCCAGGTCCAGAGAGTCTGCGCCATGATCCAGGTTCAGACAGTCTCCGCCATGATCCAGGTCCAGACAGTCTCCGCCATGATCCAGGTCCAGACAGTCTCCGCCATGATCCAGGTCCAGAGAGTCTGTGCCATGATCCAGGTTCAGATAGTCTCCGCCATGATCCAGGTCCAAAGAGTCTCCGCCATGATCCAGGTCCAAAGAGTCTCCGCCATGATCCAGGTCCAAAGAGTCTCCGCCATGATCCAGGTCCAAAGAGTCTCCGCCATGATCCAGGTCCAGACAGTCTCCGCCATGATCCAGGTCCAGACAGTCTCCGCCATGATCCAGATCCAGACAGTCTCCGCCATGATCCAGGTCCAGACAGTCTGTGCCATGATCCAGATCCAGACAGTCTCCGCCATGATCCAGATCCAGACAGTCTCCGCCATGATCCAGGTCCAGACAGTCTGTGCCATGATCCAGGTCCAAAGAGTCTCCGCCATGATCCAGATCCAGACAGTCTCCGCCATGATCCAGATCCAGACAGTCTCCGCCATGATCCAGATCCGGACTGGTGCCTGCTGCGTGTACGGTGCCATGCTGCTTGTACTGGTGCCTGCCGCGTGTACTGGTGCCTGCTGCGTGTACTGGTGCCAAGCTGCGTGTACTGGTGCCAAGCTGCGTGTACTGGTGCCTGCCACGTGTACTAGTGCCTGCCGCGTGTACTGGTGCCATACTGCGTGTACTGGTGCCCGCTGCGTGTACTGGTGCCATGCTGCGTGTACTGGTGCCATACTGCGTGTACTGGTGCCATACTGCGTGTACTGGTGCCTACCAGCCTGTTGCTGGTAGGAATTGTCCAACTCCTTGACCTCAAAACTAGGGTAGGAGGAACGAGTGCTCTTTTTTTTAAAAACGCGGCACCTATGAGAACATCATCATTAGCATGTGCCCTGCCAATTGGCGTAGGCGCTCATGCATCTCCACTACTCGCACACTCTGCTAGCTTCAGAAATCAAGACTGAGCATGGCGTAAGGTCACTCCCATAATCACCGAGGACACTCCAACCGTTTGAACCAGTTCTAATGTTTCTTTGTGACAAGAGAGTCAACAGCAGCGTAAACATTTACTAAATGCCAGGTTGTTCCCCCATTATCTATGTGTATACCATGGACATCCAGTGTACTATGATTCCACTAGCCCAGGTCAAGTACCACATGACCGCACCCCCCCCCCCGCCCCTCCCCCCCCCCTTCATCATTTTTTTACCAGCAGACATTGCCCATGTCTTCCATCTCCGGTACGATTTATGTAACTAACGTATCCAGGACACCCATATCTGTCTGTGTTTAATTCCTGCATCATGATGATATCAAAGTCTCTCTAGTACAGGTCCTTTTGTATGTCCATTAATCCTTCCATTAGTATTCGTAATATGTTAATTACATTACTTGTCTCTCTACCTTCCATAAATCCATACTGCTATTCACTTATTTCCATTCTTTTTTTTTTTTCCTTCTTGTCCTTCTCATTATAATTCTAAGTAGTAATTTGGTGACAATTAATATTCAAAGTCTCTGACATTTTCAATTTCAACTTGGTATGTCACCTAGTGTTATAAATGTCCTTCATCACTTTAGTAAATATTTTTACCTTAAATTCCCCCAGTACTTCCAATTCTTCTACCGAAATGTAATCTGGCCCGGTTGACTTTTCTTTCTTCATATGTTTTATAGCATCATTACCTTCTTGTTTTAGTGTAGGCGGACCTTCTACATTTTTCTTCCGGTAATTCTGCTTGCTCTCTTTCCATCATATAACTCTGTTATGTTTTCATTCCATCTACTTAATGATCTAATCTTCCTCCATTCGGATCTCTCCTGCTTTTGATTTCAGCTATCCTGTGTTTACCTTTATCTTTCTTCCAGTTAGATCGCTAATTCTCTACTCCTGTCTGTAACCTCTTTTCTCTACTTCTATTTGTAACCTCTATTCTCTACTTCTATTTGTAACATATATTCTCTACTTCTATCTGTAACCTCCATTCTCTACTCCTGTCTGTAACCTCTATTCTCTACTTCTATCTGTAACCTCCATTCTCTACTCCTGTCTGTAACCTATATTCTCTACTTCTATCTGTAACCTCCATTCTCTACTCCTGTCTGTAATCTCTATTCTCTACTTCTATTTGTAACCTATATTCTCTACTTCTATCTGTAACCTCTATTCTCTACTTCTATCTGTAACCTTTATTCTCTACTTCTATCTGTAACCTCTATTCTCTACTTCTATCTGTAACCTCTATTCTCTACTTTTATCTGTAACCTATAATCTATGCTTCTGTCTGTAACCTTTACTCTCGACTTCTGCCTGTAACCTCTATTCCCTACACCTGTTTATTACTTCTGTTCTCTACTCCTGTCTTTAACCTCTATTCTCTACACCTGTCTGTAACCTCTCTTCTCTTCTCTTGTCTGTAACCTTTATTATCAACCCCTGTCTGCAGCCTCTATTCTCTAATCATATCTGTAACTTATATTCTCTACTCCTGTCTGTAACCTCTATTCTCTACTCCTGTCTGTAACCTCTATTCTCAACTCCTGTCTGTAACCTCTATTCTCTACTCCTGTCTGTAACCTCTATTCTCTACTTCTATCTGTAACCTCTATTCTCTACTTTTATCTGTAACCTATAATCTATGCTTCTGTCTGTAACCTTTACTCTCGACTTCTGCCTGTAACCTCTATTCCCTACACCTGTTTATTACTTCTGTTCTCTAATCCTGTCTGTAACCTCTATTTGCTACACCTGTTTATTACTTCTGTTCTCTACTCCTGTCTGTAACCTCTATTCTCTACACCTGTGTATAACTTCTGTTCTTTACTCCTGTCTATAACCTCTATTCTCTACTCCTGTCTGTAACCTCTCTTCTCTTCTCTTGTCTGTAACCTTTATTATCTACTCCTGTCTGTAACCTTTATTCTCTACTCCTGTCTGTAACCTCTCTTCTCTTCTCTTGTCTATAACCTCTATTCTCTACTCCTGTCTGTAACCTCTCTTCTCTTCTCTTGTCTATAACCTCTATTCTCTACTCCTGTCTGTAACCTCTCTTCTCTTCTCTTGTCTGTAACTTTTATTATCAACCCCTGTCTGCAGCCTCTATTCTCTAATCACATCTGTAACCTCTATTCTCAACTCCTGTCTGTAACCTCTATTCTCAACTCCTGTCTGTAACCTCTATTCTCAACTTCTGCCTGTAACCTCTATTCTCTGCTCCTGTCTGTAAGCTCTATTCTCTACTCCTGTCTGTAAGCTCTATTATTTACTCATGTCTGTAAGCTCTATTATTTACTCCTGTCTGTAAGCTCTATTATTTACTCCTGTCTGTAAGCTCTATTATTTACTTATGTCTGTAACCTCTATTCTCCACTCCTGTCTGTAAGCTCTATTATTTACTCCTGTCTGTAACTCTATTCTCTACTCCTGTCTGTAAGCTCTATTATTTACTCCTGTCTGTAACCTCTATTCTCTACTCCTGTCTGTAAGCTCTATTATTTACTCATGTCTGTAAGCTCTATTATTTACTCTTGTCTGTAAGCTCTATTATTTACTCCTGTCTGTAAGCTCTTTTCTCTAATCCTGTCTGTAAGCTCTATTATTTACTCCTGTCTGTAAGCTCTATTATTTACTCATGTCTGTAAGCTCTATTATTTACTCATGTCTGTAAGCTCTATTATTTACTCCTATCTGTAAGCTCTATTATTTACTCATGTCTGTAAGCTCTATTATTTACTCCTGTCTGTAAGCTCTATTATTTACTCCTGTCTGTAACCTCTATTCTCTACTCCTGTCTGTAAGCTCTATTATTTACTCATGTCTGTAAGCTCTATTATTTACTCATGTCTGTAAGCTCTATTATTTACTCATGTCTGTAACCTCTATTCTCTACTCATGTCTGTAAGCTCTATTATTTACTCATGTCTGTAAGCTCTATTATTTACTTCTGTCTGTAAGCTCTATTATTTACTCCTGTCTGTAAGCTCTATTATTTACTCCTGTCTGTAAGCTCTATTATTTACTCATGTCTGTAAGCTCTATTATTTACTCATGTCTGTAAGCTCTATTATTTACTCATGTCTGTAAGCTCTATTATTTACTCCTGTCTGTAAGCTCTATCATTTACTCCTGTCTGTAAGCTCTATTATTTACTCATGTCTGTAAGCTCTATTATTTACTCATGTCTGTAAGCTCTATTATTTACTCCTGTCTGTAAGCTCTATTATTTACTCCTGTCTGTAAGCTCTATTATTTACTCCTGTCTGTAAGCTCTATTATTTACTCCTGTCTGTAACCTCTATTCTCTACTCCTGTCTGTAAGCTCTATTATTTACTCATGTCTGTAAGCTCTATTATTTACTCATGTCTGTAAGCTCTATTATTTACTCATGTCTGTAAGCTATATTATTTACTCATGTCTGTAAGCTCTATTATTTACTCCTGTCTGTAAGCTCTATTATTTACTCCTGTCTGTAAGCTCTATTATTTACTCCTGTCTGTAAGCTCTATCATTTACTCATGTCTGTAAGCTCTATTATTTACTCATGTCTGTAAGCTCTATTATTTACTCATGTCTGTAAGCTCTATTATTTACTCCTGTCTGTAACCTCTATTATTTACTCATGTCTGTAAGCTCTATTATTTAGTCATGTCTGTAAGCTCTATTATTTACTCATGTCTGTAAGCTCTATTATTTACTCCTGTCTGTAAGCTCTATTATTTACTCATGTCTGTAAGCTCTATTATTTACTCATGTCTGTAAGCTCTATTATTTACTCATGTCTGTAAGCTCTATTATTTACTCATGTCTGTAAGCTCTATTATTTACTCCTGTCTGTAAGCTCTATTATTTACTCCTGTCTGTAAGCTCTATTATTTACTCCTGTCTGTAAGCTCTATCATTTACTCATGTCTGTAAGCTCTATTATTTACTCATGTCTGTAAGCTCTATTATTTACTCATGTCTGTAAGCTCTATTATTTACTCCTGTCTGTAAGCTCTATTATTTACTCATGTCTGTAAGCTCTATTATTTACTCATGTCTGTAAGCTCTATTATTTACTCATGTCTGTAAGCTCTATTATTTACTCCTGTCTGTAAGCTCTATCATTTACTCCTGTCTGTAAGCTCTATTATTTACTCATGTCTGTAAGCTCTATTATTTACTCATGTCTGTAAGCTCTATTATTTACTCCTGTCTGTAAGCTCTATTATTTACTCATGTCTGTAAGCTCTATTATTTACTCCTGTCTGTAAGCTCTATTATTTACTCCTGTCTGTAACCTCTATTCTCTACTCCTGTCTGTAAGCTCTATTATTTACTCATGTCTGTAAGCTCTATTATTTACTCATGTCTGTAAGCTCTATTATTTACTCATGTCTGTAAGCTCTATTATTTACTCCTGTCTGTAAGCTCTATTATTTACTCCTGTCTGTAAGCTCTATCATTTACTCATGTCTGTAAGCTCTATTATTTTCTCATGTCTGTAAGCTCTATTATTTACTCATGTCTGTAAGCTCTATTATTTACTCCTGTCTGTAACCTCTATTATTTACTCATGTCTGTAAGCTCTATTATTTACTCATGTCTGTAAGCTCTATTATTTACTCCTGTCTGTAAGCTCTATTATTTACTCATGTCTGTAAGCTCTATTATTTACTCCTGTCTGTAAGCTCTATTATTTACTCATGTCTGTAAGCTCTATTATTTACTCCTGTCTGTAAGCTCTATTATTTACTCCTGTCTGTAAGCTCTATTATTTACTCCTGTCTGTAAGCTCTATTATTTACTCCTGTCTGTAAGCTCTATTATTTACTCCTGTCTGTAAGCTCTATTATTTACTCCTGTCTGTAAGCTCTATTCTCTGCTACTGCAGGTCTCACTTCACTTGTGAACACCTTTAATGCAGAAAGGCTACCTACTGCTGGACGTGATCATGGTAATCAAGGAACAGGGACACAAATTTAGAGTGGCTACCTACTGCTGGATGGAATCATGATGATCAAGGAACAAGGACACAGCTGGAGAGTGGCTACCTACTGTTGAATGGAATCATGGTGATCAAGCAACAATGAAACAGCTGGAGAGTGGCTACCTACTGTTGGATGGAATCATGATGATCAAGGAACAAGGACACAACTGGAGAGTGGCTACCTACTGCTGGATGGGATCAGTGATCAAGAAACAAGGACACAACTGGAGAGTGGCTACCTACTGCTGGATGGGATCAGTGATCAAGCAACAATGAAACAGCTGGAGAGTGGCTACCTACTGATGGATGGGATCACAGTGATCAAGGAACAGGGACACAACTGGAGAGTGGCTACCTACTGCTGGATGGAATCACAGTGATCAAGGAAGAAGGACACAGCTGGAGAGTGGCTACCTACTGCTGGATGGGATCATGGTGATCAAGGAACAAGGACACAAATTTAGAGTGGCTACCTACTGCTGGATTGGATCATGGTGATCAAGGAAAAGGACAAAACAGGAGAGTGGCTACCTACGGAATCACAGAGATCAAGGAACAAGGACACAACTGGAGAGTGGCTACCTACTGCTGGATGGGATCAGTGATCAAGGAACAAGGACACAGCTGGAGAAAGCATCCTGGAAGTCAAGACTGTAAGAGCTGTTGCTAAGAGCTCATTAACATGAATTCCAAAGGAACCACAAATTTACGGGGGTGGGGGAAGGGGTGCAAGGACCAAAGTTGCTTTTATGTCAACCTTGTCTTTAGCCACGGGGTGTGACTGTATCAGGAGATACAAATAGCAGCTGCCATGACCAAATGTGGATTCAAACAAACCTACACCTGTCTAAACATTGGGCTGTTATCCAATAAAAGCATAGTTAACAAACAATGTATGCGTATACAACAACAAAGATGTATTGTTAACCAATAAATGATGCATGGTTACTCAACAGATGTTTGGTTAACTGTTACAAATGTTGTAAGGTTAACCAATAAATGATGCATTTTAACTTAACAAATATGTGGGTATGCAACAAAACTTGTATTGTTAACCAATTGTTGTTATTTATCCAGTGGCGCATGAGCTTTTGCCCTTTGGCCCAAGTATTGTTAACCAATAAATGATGCATAATTACTCAACAAATGTGTGGGTATGCAACAAAACTTGTATTGTTAACCAATTATTGATGCATAACTACTCAACAAATGTGTGGGTATGCAACAAAACTTGTATTGTTAACCAATTATTGATGCATAACTACTCAACAAATGTGTGGGTATGCAACAAAACTTGTATTGTTAACCAATTATTGATGCATAACTACTCAACAAATGTGTGGGTATGCAACATGTGTAAGTACACAAGCAAAGTCTGTGACATCAGAAAACCCCCAGACACAAGAGCCAGTGATCAACAATTAAGTAAACATTTACAACTGAACTAGATCAGAGTGTACTACTGTGAAAATGGACACTGGCTAACCTTGACCACCAATCGCAGGTCAACTTTGGTCCTACAACTGGTTGTGGCTGGTGCTAGTCCATCACCTGTGGATAAGCTCATCATTATCAAGTGACAGCATTAGATAACACACACCCACACAATACAACAGTACCTTTCATGGAATCAACATTAGAAACTCTAACCTCTATGAGATCAACTTAGAAACTTTGATATTCATCAAGATTACATTAAACACTGTAAAGAGTAACAAGGGATCACATGATCAACACAACAGCTTGATCAAATTGACACCAAATGAGCCATCATCATAACTGAGATAAGAAAAAAGAACAATGGTATGATGAGGCATCACAAAAGTTGCCAATAATCGACATCAGAAAATATACACTTGTGCCAGTCAGCCACACATGACAAAGATATAATGTTGAAGTTTGCAGTCGACTCACTCTCAAACTGGGGCTATTGTGGCCCACAGACCAGTCTGTCAATAAAATCTCTGCACTCTCATCCATTCACAGACAGGACTCATCCATTCACACAGACAGGAGTGATCCATTCACACAGACAGGAGTGATCCATTCACACAGACAGGACTAATCCATTCACACAGACAGGACTCATCCTTTCACACAGACATGACTCACATTCACACAGACAGGAGTGATCCATTCACACAGACAGAAGTGATCCTTTCACACAGACAGGACTCATCCATTCACACAAACAGGAGTGATTCATTCACAGACAGGAGTGATCCATTCACAGACAGGAGTGTTCCTTTTACACAGACAGGAGTGATCCTTTCACACAGACAGGCATGATCCATTCACACAGACAGGAGTGATCCATTCACACAGACAGGACTCATCCATTCAGACAGACAGGACTCATCCATTCACAAACAGGACTAATCCATTCACAGACAGCAGTGATCCATTCACAGACAGGAGAGATCCATTCACACAGACAGGACTCATCCATTCACACAGACAGGACTCATCCATTCACACAGACATGACTCATCCATTCGCAGACAGGAGTGATCTTTTCACACAGACAGGAATCATCCATTCACACAGACAGGACTCATCTATTCACACAGACAGGACTCATCCATTCACACAGACAGAAGTGATTCATTCACACAGACAGGGGTCATCCATTCACACAGACAGGAGTGATCCATTCACACAGACAGGACTCATCCATTCACACAGACAGGACTCATCCATTCACACAGACAGGACTCATCCATTCACACAGACAGGACTCATCCATTCACAGACAGGACTCATTCATTCACAGACAGGACTCATCAATTCAAAGACATGAGTGATCCTTTCACACAGACAGGAGTGATCCTTTCACACAGACAGGCGTGATCCATTCACACAGACAGGAGTGATCCATTCACACAGACAGGGCTAATCCACTCATACAGACAGGACTAATCCATTCACACAGACAGGAGTGATCTTTTCACACAGAGAGGACTCATCCATTCACACAGACAGGAGTGATTCATTCTCATACAGGAGTGATACATTCACAGACAGGAGTGATCCTTTCACACAGACAGGAGTGATCCTTTCACACAGACAGGCATGATCCATTCACACAGACAGGAGTGATCCATTCACACAGACAGGACTCATCCATTCACACAGACAGGACTCATCCACTCACACAGACAGGACTCATCCATTCACACAGACAGGACTCATCCATTCACACAGACAGGACTCATCCATATACACAGACAGGACTCATCCACTCACACAGACAGGACTCATCCACTCACACAGACAGGACTCATCCACTCACACAGACAGGACTCATCCATATACACAAACAGGAGTGATCCACTTAGGACATTGAAGGATACACACAGGACAACAACATTTGCTGTAGGTGATGCTGGACCACATGATAAGGGTTACAAACTGATCATATGTCAATATGAAGAATCCGATCAGCTTACTCAGGCAGAAGTGTGGAATAGCACCATGCCACTCACACATGGAGAAACAAGTGTGGAGTCTCATCAGCTTACTCACACATGCAGAGACAAGTGTGAAATCTCATCAGCTCACTCACACATGCAGAGACAAGTGTGGAGTCTCATCAGTTCCCTTAAACATGCAGAGACAAGTGTGGAGTCTCATCAGCTCACTTAAACATGCAGAGACAAGTGTGGAGTCTCATCAGCTCACTTAAACATGCAGAGACAAGTGTAGAATCTCATCAGTTCACTTAAACATGCAGAGACAAGTGTGGAATCTCATCAGTTCACTTAAACATGCAGAGACAAGTGTGGAGTCTCATCAGCTCACTTAAACATGCAGAGACAAGTGTAGAATCTCATCAGTTCACTTAAACATGCAGAGACAAGTGTGGAGTCTCATCAGTTCACTTAAACACGCAGAGGCAAGCATGGAATCTCATCAGCTCACTTAAACACGCAGAGACAAGTGTAGAATCTCATCAGTTCACTTAAACATGCAGAGACAAGTGTGGAATCTCATCAGTTCACTTAAACATGCAGAGACAAGTGTGGAATCTCATCAGCTCACTTAAACATGCAGAGACAAGTGTGGAATCTCATCAGCTCACTTAAACATGCAGAGACAAGTGTGGAATCTCATCAGCTCACTTAAACATGCAGAGACAAGTGTAGAATCTCATCAGTTCACTTAAACATGCAGAGACAAGTGTAGAATCTCATCAGCTCACTTAAACATGCAGAGACAAGTGTGGAATCTCATCAGCTCACTCAAACATGCAGAGACAAGTGTGGAATGGCACCAGCTCACTCAGACATGGACAGGTCAGTGTTCTGGTATCTCAAAGCCTTAATAACAGTCTCTGGGACAGGTAAAGTGTCAAGGTCTTTGAAGCACAGGTGATTCCTGATCAAGGTTCTCCTGATGGCATCCAGACAAGTGGAGACCAGGGTTGGGATTTCCTCCAGCCGGTGACGCAGCCTTTGAGTCAACTCTGCGTCACACAAACTCTGACCCTGAAGCTCTTCCTTCTCTGCCAGAGAGAAGGGTCTGGACATCTGCTCACAAAGGTACAAGGCAGTGTGGTCACGGCTGAACTTAAAGGCTTTACGATAAGCCATGTGTTTGCCGTAAGCCCTGGCATAGATGTCTGCTCCATAGGAAAGTAGAATTTGGCATAGCCTGATGCTGCCGGAACTGGCTGCCAGGTGAAGTGGGGGGTAGGCAGTGGGGTCCTGGTAGAGGTGCACATTGACAATCCGTGGCTGTGTGTTCAGCAGCAGCTCTACAAACACAATATTCCTGCTGGACAGTGCCTTGTCCAGTGGCCGAAGGTGATTGACGTTGGGGTGGTCCAATGGACAAGACAGGTCAATTAGCTTTCTGATCACTTCAGGACTGCAGCGGTCAGCAGAATGAAGCAATGAGTTAAAAGCATAGTCCAAATGTGTACCCAGGAACCCCTCTGGATAAAGGTCAGGTGAGAGTAAAGTCAGGGCGGCGTCATTGTGGCCGAGTTCTAACGCAAACTGAAGTGGGATCTTGCCGATGTCGGCACTCAGCTGCCGTGGGTCAGCACCGTTGTTCAGCAGCAGCTCAATCACCTCCTTGCATCCAATGCTGGCAGCCAGATGAAGAGGTGTCAGGATGTCATCGTTGGCCATGGAGCGCCGCTCGGAATACTGGATGCTGCTTTTTACATTGACATTAGCCCCAGCTTGTAGCAGGAGTCGGCACACTTCATACAGATCACCTGCTGAGGTCTTCCTCTGATCCAAACACTCGACCAGCGGCGTTTTCCCCATGGAGTCAGTTGCATTGACATTAGCTCCCAATTGTATCAGCAGCTCCAGCATGGAGACCCACCTCTGACTGGCACACAGGTGCAGGGCTGACGTCTTGCTACCCTTGACCTGAGCATTAATGTTGAAGGTGCTGCTGGGTTCCTCAATGTTCTTGATCACATCCCAAGAGTCAGAGGGCCAGTTTTCACACAGACTGCCGTGGGTGTTAGCCTTGATATCTGCCAATGGACCACATTCAGCAGGGACAAGTAACCAGAAAAACTGCAGAAAATTGCAGCTGGCTGCAACGTGCATGGGCAACAAGCCCTGATTGTTGGCGTGCTGCAACATTTGTGGCAGCCAGCAACAGCCCTTGACCACCTCCAGCATGGAGCAGAGTTTTCTCTTGGCAATCACGTGGAGGACTGTGTCGCCATTCTTGTCAACAATCAGTTTGTCAGCTTGTTTCAGCATGACTCGGAGTAGCCTCTCAAAGCCTGACTTCTCTACGACTTTAAATATCGACTTGGACATTCTCACGTCTGTCACTTTCATGCCAGGGTTTTTGAGTGTGCTGCTGTCTGCATGTGGGTCACATCCATGCCTGAGGAGCAGCAGAGCTATGTCTTCATGTCCTTTAGCAATGGCATGCAGAAATGGAGTCGGCTGCTGATGAGGGCATATGTACCAGTCTAAAGAGTTTGGGTACTTGGTGGCCAAGGGTGGACTCGCCAGTTTGTCTAAAATGACGTGGCAGTCTTGAAGATTGCGAACTTCAATAGATCTGGCAAGTTGCTGCTGCAGCTGTCGGACACAGCCGCCTGCCTGTTGGTCCTGTAACACCAGACCACAAGAATTTAACAATATGCCGGTGGATGTCGTCAGTTTGTCTAGAATGTCTCGTCATCTATCCAGATTTTAATCTTATCTGTCCGTCCAAGGTTTAATCTCGAATGTCTGGGTTTCAGAGACATCTGTCCAGGTTTTAAACTCATCTGTCCATCCAGGTTTTTAGAGACATCTGTCCAGATTTTAATCTCATCTGTCCATCAAAGTTTTTAGAGCCATCTGTCCAAATTTTATTCTCATCTGTCCGTCAAAGTTTTAGAGCTAAATATCTATATTTCCTTAAAGTGACATCTAGCCTTCCCCGGTCTATCATGCTCTCAGTGCTTCAGCTTTCAATGTCATTAGTCTGTCAAACTGTCATCTCAGTGTGATCTTAACAGTCATACATATCCTGAAAGAGCACTAATGCAGTCACACATCTCCTGAAAGAGCACTAACACAGTCACACATCTCCTGGGAGAGCACCAATACAGTCACACATCTCCTAGGAGAGCACTAATACAGTCACACATCTCCTGGGAGAGCACTAATACAGTCACACATCTCCTGGGAGAGCACTTATACAGTCACACATCTCCTGGGAGAGCACTTATACAGTCACACATCTCCTGGGAGAACACTTATACAGTCACACATCTCCTGGGAGAGCACCAATACAATCACACATCTCCTGGGACAGCACTAATACAGTCACACATCTCCTTAGAGAGCACTTATACAGTCACACATCTCCTGGGAGAGCACTTATACAGTCACACATCTCCTAGGAAAGCACCTATACAGTCACACATCTCATAGGAGAGCACTTATACAGTCACACATCTCCTGGGAGAGCACTAATGCAGTCACACATCTCCTGGGAGAGCACTTATACAGTCACATATCTCCTGGGAGAGCACTTATACAGTCACACATCTTCTGGGAGAGAATTAATGCAGTCACACATCTCCTGGGACAGCACTAATACAGTCACACATCTCCTTAGAGAGCACTTATACAGTCACACATCTCCTGGGAGAGCACTTATACAGTCACACATCTCCTAGGAAAGCACCTATACAGTCACACATCTCATAGGAGAGCACTTATACAGTCACACATCTCCTGGGAGAGCACTAATGCAGTCACACATCTCCTGGGAGAGCACTTATACAGTCACATATCTCCTGGGAGAGCACTTATACAGTCACACATCTTCTGGGAGAGAATTAATGCAGTCACACATCTCCTGGGAGAGCACTAATGCAGTCACACATCTCCTGGGAGAGCACTTATACAGTCACATATCTCCTGGGAGACCACTTATACAGTCACACATCTTCAGGGAGAGCACTAATGCAGTCACACATCTCCTGGGAGAGCACTAATACAGTCACACATCTCCTGGCAAAGCACTAATACAGTCACACATCTTCTGGGAGAGCACTTATACAGTCACACATCTCCTGGGAGAGCACTAATGCAGTCGCACATCTCCTGGGAGAGCACTTATACAGTTACACATCTCCTGGGAGAGCACTTATACAGTCACACATCTCCTGGGAGAGCACTTATACAGTCACACATCTCCTGGGAGAGCACTAATGCAGTCGCACATCTCCTGGGAGAGCACTTATACAGTCACACATCTCCTGGGAGAGCACTTATACAGTCACACATCTCCTGGGAGAGCACCAATACAGTCACACATCTCCTGGGAGAGCACCAATACAGTCACACATCTCATGGGAGAGCACTAATACAGTCACACATCTCCTGGGAGAGCACTAATACAGTCAAACATCTCCTGGGAGAGCACTTATACAGTCACACATCTCCTGGGAGAGCACTTATACAGTCACACATCTCCTGGGAGAACACTTATACAGTCACACATCTCCTGGGAGAGCACCAATACAATCACACATCTCCTGGGAGAGCACTAATACAGTTACAAATCTCCTGGGAGAGCACTTATACAGTCTCACATCTCCTGGGAGAGCACTAATGCAGTCACAAATCTCCTGGGAGAGCACTAATACAGTCACACATCTCCTGGGAGAGCACTAATGCAGTCACACATCTCCTGGGAGAGCACCAATACAGTCCCACATCTCCTGGGAGAGCACTAATACAGTCACACATCTCCTGGGAGATCACTAACACAGTCACACATCTCCTGGGAGAGCACTAAAACAGTTACACATCTCTTGGGAGAGCACTTATACAGTCACACATCTCCTGGGAGAGCACTAATACGGTCACACATCTCCTGGGAGAGCCCTAATGCAGTCACACATCTCCTGGGAGAGCACTAATGTAGTCACACATCTCCTGGGAGAGCCTAATACAGTCACACGTCTCCTGGGAGAGCACTAATGCAGTCACATATCTCCTGGGAGAGCATCAATACAGTCACACATCTCCTGGGAGAGCACTAATACAGTCACACATCTCTTGGGAGAGCACTTACACAGTCACACATCTCCTGGGAGAGCACTAACACAGTTACACATCTCCTGGGAGAGCACTAACACAGTCACACATCTCCTGGGAGAGCACTTATACAGTCACACATCTCCTGGAAGAGCACTAATACAGTCACACATCTCCTGGGAGAGCACTTATACAGTCACACATCTCCTGGGAGAGCACTAACACAGTTACACATCTCCTGGGAGAGCACTTATACAGTCACACATCTCCTGGGAGAGCACTAATACAGTCACACATTTCCTGGGAGAGCACTAATGCAGTCACACATCTCCTGGGAGAGCACTAATGCAGTCACACATCTCCTGGGAGAGCACTAATGCAGTCACACATCTCCTGGGAGAGCATTAATACAGTCACACGTCTCCTGGGAGAGCACTTATACAGTCACACATCTCCTGGGAGAGCACTAACACAGTCACACATCTCCTGGGAGAGCACTTATACAGTCACACATCTCCTGGGAGAGCACTAATACAGTCACACATCTCCTGGGAGAGCGCTTATACAGTCACACATCTCCTGGGAGAGCACTAACACAGTCACACATCTCCTGGGAGAGCACTAACACAGTTACACATCTCCTGGGAGAGCACTTATACAGTCACACATCCCCTGGGAGAGCACTAATACAGTCACACATCTCCTGGGAGAGCACTAATGCAGTCACACATCTCCTGGGAGAGCACTAATGCAGTCACACATCTCCTGGGAGAGCACTAATACAGTCACACATCTCCTGGGAGAGCACTTATACAGTCACACATCTCCTGGGAGAGCACCAATACAGTCACACATCTCCTGGGAGAGCACTTATACAGTCACACATCTCCTGGGAGAGCACTAATGTAGTCACACATCTCCTGGGAGAGCACTTATACAGTCACACATCTCCTGGGAGAGCACTTATACAGTCACACATTTCCTGGGAGAGCACTTATACAGTCACACATCTCCTGGGAGAGCACTAATACAGTCACACATCTCCTGGGAGAGCACTTATACAGTCACACACACACACACACACACACACACATATATATATATATATATATTGTTTGTTTGTTTGTTTTAGTATCCAGAAGCCATGAGTTGTTAACCCTTAGGCTTGGTATTATGGATATCGCAACCTTTCGGCAAAGCTGCAATCATATATATCTATATTGTTTGTTTGTTTGTTTTAGTATCCAGAAGCCATGAGTTGTTAACCCTTAGGCTTGATATTATGGATATCGCAACCTTTCGGCCTTGATTCCATTGTAAATACCGTAAATCTGGGAGAAATGTGGCTTTTCTGCCCACCCCCGGGAGGGAACCCGGACCACAAAGAGTTCGTCACCCGCTCACCGCGCAATCCGGTTTAGCCAACTACACTAGAGAGACGGGCATAGATATATATATGCTTATATATACTTTTATATAACAATGATAAACATTTAAATGCACCACGATTTGGATTAGGTTACTGTTTGTCTCATTTATTATCTTCATCTTTGTCTTTTCATATGTTGCATGTTTAGAGCTAAGTGTTTTTAATCTTTCATTTAAAAAAAAACACATTTTACATTTAATCGCATATTTTATCCTGTCTGATTTCCAAATGGTCCAGAAGGTCCGTGAAATTGAGAACATTATGACGACGCTGTGGCCGGGTCCATTGAATTCCGTTTATAGTAGCAGTTAATGTCTTCGTAATGCAGTTTATGCTATTATATTCTCTTTTTAAAAAAAAAAATAAAGTGAAGAGTTATCGCCTGCACAAACTTACGCGGAACCTAAGTTCGTAATTTAAATTAATTAACATTATTAATAATTAATAATAATAAATACGTAGCTGCCACTCACACTGGCAGCCTGCCAGCAGCGACTTAGTACATCAACGAGCGACTGACAAGGACACACTACACGTTTAGGAGTTAGTACCTCGGTCTCCATGAGATGAAAGACTGTGCTGTCTGCTAGTTAAGACAGAGACAGTGAGGAGATAAATAGACCGCTGTCCGCGGGACCTCTGACAGAGACAGCATTCATTGACAACAGGAACAGCTGTAGGTCGCCATCTTCTAATTTGGTCCCATTCTCCACCATTCGTGCCTTCGTCTTTTTCTCTTTTCGCGTACTATTATCAAGTTGTCTGCGTTAACTGGTCAGATGTGCAGATGTTAGGTAGGAAAATTTTTAACCAGGACAGGATATACTGACTGCGTTGTAAGATTTTAATACCAAGATAGGTACATAAAAGAATGGATGTTTCTCACTATCTCTTTCGGGTTGTTGGTTTACACAAAACCATTTTTCAGGGTGCAGATTTATTCACAATACTACGGGTTCCGTAAAACAAATATGCACCCAAAACGCAAGTTCTGGGTTGAGACCGAAGTCCAGGAGTGGATGAACCAAAAAACTAAAACAAAAAACGTCTCCAGAGATTAGACAAAGACGTTACCCTTGAAGTTCCCAGGCCTCAGTCCCCATACCCAAATCCCAAGGCCCCAGTCCCAAGCCCCCGGTCTCAAGTGCCTAGTCTCAGTTCCCAAATCCACAGTCCCTAGTCTCAGTTCCCAAGTCCACAGTCCCTAGTCCCAATTCCCAAGTCCACAGTCCCTAGTCTCAGTTCCCAAATCCACAGTCCCTAGTCTAAGTTCCCAAGTCCACAGTCCCTAGTCCTAATTCCCAAGTCCACAGTCCCTAGTCCCAATTCCCAAATCCACAGTCCCTAGTCTAAATTCCAAGTCCACAGTCCCTAGTCTCAGTTCCCAAGTCCACAGTCCCTAGTCTAAATTCCAAGTCCACAGTCCCTAGTCCCAATTTCCAAGTCCACAGTCCCTAGTCTCAATTTCCAAATCCACAGTCCCTAGTCTCAATTCCCAAGTCCACAGTCCCTAGTCCCAATTCCCAAATCCACAGTCCTTAGTCTCAATTCCAAGTCCACAATCCCTAGTCCCAATTCCCAAATCCACAGTCCCTAGTCTCAATTCCAAGTCCACAGTCCCTAGTCTCAATTCCCAAGTCCACAGTCCCTAGTCTCAATTTCCAAATCCACAGTCCCTAGTCTCAATTCCCAAGTCCACAGTCCCAATTTCCAAGTCCACAGTCCCTAGTCTCTATTCCCAAGTCCACAGTCCCAATTTCCAAGTCCACAGTCCCAATTTCCAAGTCCACAGTCCCTAGTCTCTATTCCCAAGTCCACAGTCCCTAGTCTCTGCTACCTCCAGTTTGTTCACGTTACTAAAACAAAGCAACAAACCAGTTTTAATATATCAGCTTACATATAGGCAGATCCATCCATCCATCTACCATTGCATCTATCTACGAACGTAACCATCGTCCCGCCCATTCATCTACCCACACCATTTATCTCACCATTCACTCAATGCTATTTTTCACCGCTATCTTCCATTCTGGCTGTTACCAGCCTTGCACTTGGGCTCGACTAATACTTTGTATAAAAATAACCCTTACTGTCTCTATTTGATAGCGGACAGTAAGAGAGAAGCACTGCGTTACTAGACTCATGTTTTTACCTCATCTCATATTTGGTCGATCCATCCATCCATCTACGATTCCATACATCCACTAATACAGTCATCCATCATTCAATCCATTCATCTACCCACCCATCCATCCATCTACCATTCCATTCATCCACTAATACACTCATCCATCATTCCATCCATTCACTACCCACCCATCTATCCAGGACACACTCGCCTATCCACACCACCATCCACACATGCTGTATTCCCATCTATCCCTTCATCGCTCCCTTACACTCTGGTTGTTATCAGACTTACTCTCGGGCTCGACTGATTTCTTTTGTATAAAAAGCATCCTTACTGTCTCTGTTTGATAGCTGACAGTAAGAGAGAAGCATCTATCTATCTATCTATCTATCTATCTATCTATCTATCTATCTATCTATCTATCTATCTATCTATCTATCTATCTATCTATCTATCTATCTATCTATCTATCTATCTATCTATCTATCTATCTATCTATCTATCTATCTATCTATCTATCTATCTATCTATCTATCTATCTATCTATCTATCTATCTATCTATCTATCTATCTATCTATCTATCTATCTATCTATCTATCTATCTATCTATCTATCTATCTATCTATCTATCTATCTATCTATCTATCTATCTATCTATCTATCTATCTATCTATCTATCTATCTATCCTATCTATCTATCTATCTATCTATCTATCTATCTATCTATCTATCTATCTATCTATCTATCTATCTATCTATCTATCTATCTATCTATCTATCTATCTATCTATCTATCTATCTATCTATCTATCTATCTATCTATCTATCTATCTATCTATCTATCTATCTATCTATCTATCTATCTATCTATCTATCTATCTATCTATCTATCTATCTATCTATCTATCTATCTATCTATCTATCTATCTATCTATCTATCTATCTATCTATCTATCTATCTATCTATTTATCTATCTATCTATCTATCTATCTATCTATCTATATATCTATCTATCTATCTATCTATCTATCTATCTATCTATCTATCTATCTATCTATCTATCTATCTATCTATCTATCTATCTATCTATCTATCTATCTATCTATCTATCTATCTATCTATCTATCTATCTATCTATCTATCTATCTATTTATCTATCTATCTATCTATCTATCTATCTATCTGTCTGTCTGTCTGTCTGTCTGTCTGTCTGTCTGTCTGTCTGTCTGTCTGTCTGTCTGTCTGTCTGTCTGTCTGTCTGTCTGTCTGTCTGTCTGTCTGTCTGTCTGTCTGTCTGTCTGTCTGTCTGTCTGTCTGTCTGTCTGTCTGTCGATATTTATTTGCAAGCACAGGCACCACTTTTATTCCATGCGGATGGACTAATGTCATCCCCACAACCCAACCCCGGTTACGCCCTATAGGCCAACCCCTCCCTCCCTTCTTAGACACTCAGTGTACGCTGTTGGCGTCAAACCCGTCCCTTTTTTTTTTGCCCCTACCTGCGCGTTGGGGGTATATAGGCTGACCGTCATTTCATTGAACGAAGTTTTTTCGCCAGGGACACTAGATGAGTATCGTTTATTCTATACATTAGAGTCCTATGTAGTCACTTCATAGTTAGAGCCTATTTGTGTATGTGTACTGTGTTGTCCTTTATGTGCTGATGAAGGCTAATCGCCGCAACGTCCTTTGTTTGTTTATTGTGATCGATTTTGTAAAGCTAACATAAACTAATTGTTGTTTCTTACCAACTTTTTCTCTTCCTTATAATTTTCTACTCCTTTTAAAAACTATAGACTGAAGAGCAAAGTTTGCTACCTCAAGTTTGTTGACTGCTATAGACTGAAGAGCAAAGTTTGCTACCTCCAGTTTGTTGACTGGCTATGGGATGAACTGTAAAGTTTGCTACCTCCAATTTATTGACTAGCTATAGACTGAACTTGGAGTTTGCTGACTCTAGTTCGTTGACTAGCTTTAGACTGAACTGGAAAGTTCCCTACCTCCAGTTTGTTGACTGACTATAGACTGAACTGTAAAGTTTGCTACCTCCAGTTTATTGACTGACTATAGACTGAACTGTAAAGTTTGCTACCTTCAGTTTGTTGACTGACTATAGACTGAACTGTAAAGTTTGCTACCTCCAGTTTTTGACTGACTATAGACTGAACTGTAAAGTTTGCTACCTTCAGTTTGTTGACTGACTATAGACTGAACTGTAAAGTTTGCTACCTTCAGTTTGTTGACTGACTATAGGCTGAACTGTCAAGTTTGCTACCTTCAGTTTGTTGACTGACTATTGACTAAACTGTGGAGTTTGCTGGCTGGCTATAGACTAAACTGTGTATCTATGGACTGAACTGTGAAGTTTGCTAACTCCAGTTTATTGACTAGCGATAGACTGAACTGTGAAGTTTGCTACCTCCAGTTTATTGACTAGCGATAGACTGAACTGTGAAGTTTGCTACCTTCAGTTTATTGACTGGCTATAGACTGAACTGTAAAGTTTGCTACCTCCAGTTTATTGACTAACTATAGACTGAACTGTGAAGTTTGCTACCTCCAGTTTATTGACTGACTATTGACTGAACTGTGAAGTTTGCTACCTCCAGTTTGTTGACTGGCTGTAGGCTGAACTGTAAAGTTTGCTACCTCCAGTTTATTGACTGACTATAGACTGAACTGTAAAGTTTGCTACCTCCAGTTTGTTGACTGGCTATAGACTGAACTGTAAAGTTTGCTACCTTCAGTTTATTGACTGACTATTGACTGAACTGTGAAGTTTGCTACCTCCAGTTTGTTAACTGGCTATAGACTGAACTGTGAAGTTTGCTACCTCCAGTTTATTGACTGACTATTGACTGAACTGTGAAGTTTGCTACCTACAGTTTATTGACTGACTATTGACTGAACTGTGAAGTTTGCTACCTACAGTTTGTTGACTGACTGTAGGCTGAACTGTAAAGTTTGCTACCTCCAGTTTATTGACTGACTATAGACTGAACTGTAAAGTTTGCTACCTCCAGTTTGTTGACTGGCTATAGACTGAACTGTAAAGTTTGCTAACTCCAGTTTGTTGACTGGCTATAGACTGAACTGTGAAGACAGCAGCAGTCCCGCAGACCATGTCGATGAGCTGGACTCAGCTGGTGACTTTTGCCACCTATCATGTTAGCGAAATCAGATGCAAGATAAAATAAACATACTTGATGAGACGTCAAGCAAATAAGATTTACAAGTCAACAGGGTAGAGACAGAGATAGTGAGAGTAAACTAGGAACAAGACAGTCCTGTGAAAACACGATAACTAAAGGCAAGATAAGATTTCATAGTACAAGGAAATCTATGGAAGTCAAAGGAAACTAGTACGAAGCTTTGAATATTTAGCTATAGTGTGAGAAACACAGAGACCAACTAAGATATTTCCTAATCA